AAGAGAAGCTAGAAACGCAATAACACAGTTTTAAACACAGCTTTAAATGTATGCTAGATGATAATATAATTTAAGTCAAAGAAATAACGCGTTGTACCAACATCTATATGGACGTAGTTAAGCAGAAAACGTCCAACCCACAAATTGTTAAAAATGAGTTCTTTACACCAGCGAGCATATAATTTCTTGCTTTATAATATGCAGAAACCGTCCAAGTGAAAACATTACATACTCTTTTAATAATCGTCAAAGTTCTAACCCACAAACTAGGTTAACTGAGATTTTCATTGATAATAAAAAATCCAAGTGGGTTGAATTTTTTCTAAAAAATGTATGTCGATCTAAGTAATCGTGTTAAAAGAGTGGTTAAAACAGGCTAAGTGGGTTGGATCACTTTAACGCTCCATGCGATAACAAAACTACTGTGCATTTTTTTGTGTTAAAAACATCCAAGTGAATTGGATGTTTTCTACTTATAAATTTCGGTATACTTGTTAAAAATAAGAGTATAATCAGAAATCGTCCAAACCACTTGGTATCATTTTACGTTTACTATTTCATTAATATGTTAAAAGTAGTTTGAATCTTCGATTTCGGTCGATAATAAAATTTTATTACGGGAATGTGCCCTATTAATGTTTAAAACGTGCCTTGTGCGTATAAACCCTGGAACTTGGTCGATAAAAATTAATTTATTATAGGTACTCATCTTAAGCATAGTAATCACTTTCCTTTAGTTTTAAGTAAATGTGCCTATGTATTGATAAACATTTCTTTTTATTCAGTTGTGTCTGATTTTTCTGACTGTTCGGGTTTAAAAATACTTATTTAATAATAATTATGTCGAAAAGAAGCAAATACATGTGTGAGCTAGCAAAACTTATGGAAAACCAAACAAATAGTGTAATGTCTAGCGTGGAATTTGATTCAAATATTACCAATGTTGAGGTAAGTCGGAAATTTTTTATTAAAAAATAACTATATGTTGTTTACTGATTATTTTTTCGTGGTTTTCGGCCAGATTGAAGAAATAACACAAAACTCTCTTTTTTTTACGACGTTTCAATTTATTTTGTTACTAAATCTTAAAAAAAAATAAAGAAAATAGAAGAAAATAGAGTTTTGTGGTATTTCTTTAATCTGCCGAAAATCACGAAAAAATAATCAGTTTATAAGACACGGCTTCTAAAAGTTTATGTTGTTTACTAAATTTTTTAAAATAAATGCATTTTATACATCATTACATAATTTAAATATATTGTATGAATATGGATGATACCAATGTGACAGAATTCTACCGTCACAGCGAACCATCGTCATCCAATAGTCGTATTCGTGAAATGGTTTTAAACGAGAAAACTGGATGTTTTGAATCAGCTTCTACCATAGATTCTGTTGATGATTATGATGTAAGTATTAAATCTTTGTACCTATACTGTTTAGTAAAATGCTTTATAATGCTATTCGCTATATTATTTCTATTTAATGAAAACTAAACTTTGATGTACCTATTGTTACAATCTAAAAGAAAAATACAACTTCCTTAGGTACACACAATTTTGTAAACACATATGTATTAATCTTATTATACCAATGTTAAATTGATACCTATTATTATGATCATCAATTATTATTGATTAAAGTAATTTATACAATAATGTAAAGCATATGAAAATTATTTTTCGATGAGTACCTATAGTAAACTTTATGAAAAAGATTAATTTGAATGAATTGAATTTGTTTTATTTTTTGGTACCTGGTAATTGATTAAAAGTTAACTTCTTTAATTAAAATAGACGCTTTCTATAATTTTTTGAAATTTTTATTTAAAATATTATCTAATAATACCTACCTTTTTATTCTTACAGAATATGTCAATAAGTGATGTCTTTAGTAGCGGTTCCTCTGATATGTTTATACCATCGTCACATGAAGAGAGTTCCGATAACAATGAAAGTTGTGATGATAATCCATTTTTAGCCAGTACATCAGGTCGTCCAAAGAAGGGTAGAAAAAAGAAATTTGCAATGACGCGAGCAACATCAAAGATTAATAGGAACAAAAATGAATCTTACATTGACTACAAAGGAAAATTGAAAGCTGCTAAAGAATTTCAATATGACTACAATTGTAACTGCCCGATGAAATGTTCTGAGTTGATTTCTACAGAGTCACGAAAACAAGAATTTGATCGTTTTTGGAGTCTTGGGTCTTATAATGCCCAAACTATCTTTATTGCCAATAATATCCACGAAATGCCGAAAAAAAGAATGTATGGAAGAAACACTGAAAGACGTCTGTATTCCAGACAATATTCCTTACTTAATCAGCGTATTTGTAGGCAAATGTTTATCAATAGTCTTAGAATAACTCCGTCAAGAGTAACAACAGCTCTGAGAAAGGTAAACAATCGTGCTCCAATTCTTGATCAAAGAGGTAGAAAACAAGGTGGTTTAAACAAAGTCCCTGAAAATAAAATTCAGGAAATAATCAACCAGATCAATAAACTGCCTAAGTACATATCGCACTACTGTCGTGAAAAACACGTCTGCATTATTTTTACCGGCACATCTCTCATTATTAAAGATTTATGATCTATACAAATCTGAAGTTCAAAACCTGTGAAATTTGGTATTTATAAGAGGATTTTTTACGAAAAATTTAATTTGAGATTTAATGTTCCCAAGAAGGACACATGCCAGTATGTGATTCATTTAAAATAAAACTAGAAAATGAAACGGATGATCATAAAAAGCAACTTTTACAAATTGAACTCGACACTCATCAGGATTTGGCCCAAAAATCACGAGAAACATTAAAGGCAGATTTAAAACGAGCTAAAGATGAGGATAATGTAGAGTGTTTAACATACGATCTTCAAAAAACTCTACCTTTACCCAAAATTCCAACCAATGTAATATATTATAAGAGGCAAGTTTGCTTGTATAATCTCGGTGTATTTTCAGGCAAACGTAATAAGAGTTATTCCTATGTATGGCTTGAAGGAACTGCTGGAAGAGGAGCTCAGGAGGTTGGTTCCTGTATTGTAAAATATTTAGAAAACATAGAAAGTACTGTTGAACATCTTATATTGTGGTCTGATTCTTGTGGAGGCCAGAACCGTAATATTAAAATAACACTCCTCATGGCCAGTCTTCTTCAAACCAGCCATAATATAAAAACTATAACATTTAAATTCCTGATTTCCGGCCATAGTTTTCTACCAAATGATAAAGATTTTGGGGATATAGAATGTCAACTCAAACGTCAAGAACGAATATATACACCTTTAGACTATATAAATATAATAAATTCAGTCGTAAAAAGTCTCCAATAACAGCTACACAAATGAAAAAGGAATGGTTTTTGAGTACCCACCAGCTCGAGAAGGCCACAATAAACAGAAAAGTTGGCACCAATAAAGAAAAAATAAATTGGTTGGAGACAAAACAATTATATTAACAAAAGAAAATCCTTACCACATCTTTATGAAACCTAGTTATTTTGGCGATGAAAGTGTATGTTTGGATATTGAGCGACGAGGACGATTAAATACAGAGAGCTTTTCGGCGCTGCTTATGCAACTCTGGCCCAATGGTAAACCCCTGTCAGAGGATAAAATTAACGATATTAAAAGCTATTTACATCTAATTCCTTCAGACGCTAAACCGTTTTATGAAAATTTTACAAGTGCTAATGTAGTCGAAGACGTTGATGGATTTAATGTTCCAGTTCTAGATTTTGAGGTAGATACCCACAATAATTAAAACTTTTTTTAAATTTACATTTACATAAGAAAATCATTGTAATTTTGTTTCTTTGGATCATTAAAATTTTTATAAAAATATGACATTATTTATTTATCTGAAAGATTCCAACCCACATAAGTATGTTTTATCGAAATTTTTTTCGGATTTTTGTTTTTTGTTAAAAACGTCCAACCTAAAATTTTCAAAATAACTTCATTGAAACTTACATTTAAAAGAAATTACAAACGAGGTGCCTACGAGATGAATATCATTATCTTAAAATCATTGCCAGGCGAATAAATTATGCATAGTTTAGCTAGGGCACACTAAAATCTTTTAAACTCAATTTCCCAACAATCACTTTTTTTGGGTTGGACGTTTTCTGCTTAACTACGTCCATATTAAGAAGAGAAGAGCAAATTTTCAACACTACAGAGAGCTGTCGAAAGTGACCGACGTCGAAGAGATTTGGGAACTTATTAGTATATACTCTTTTTAGCAAGCGTTCTAAAATCTGGAAGACTTAATGTTTTGCAAATGTGGATAATAAGAAAGGTAATGGTGTTGAAGCTATTTACTTGACAATGTCTTTAAATCGTTTCCGATCTCTACTGAGATATTTGAGGTTTGACGACTTTAATTCAAGACAACAAAGGAGAGAGCTAGATAAACTTGCTCCTACACGAGACATTTTTGGACTTAAAAATTTTCATTGAAACTTTTGAACATTGAAAATTTTCAAGGAAAATGTAAAATTTCGTCAATACATCCCCAGTAAACCATCCAAATATGGTATAAAAATATTTGCGTTAGTAGATAGCAAATATGCATACACCTATAATATGGAACACAACCAACTGGTCCTTTTAAAACTGATTGAAGTAGCGCAGAGGTTGTTAAAAGAATGGTTAAACCCATAGAAGGAACAGGTAGAAATGTAACCATGGATCCGTTGTTCGTTATCCGGATGTCCGTTAATAAACTTTTACTAAGTGGCATAGATTTGAGTGTTTATGTATGTTATGATCACAAAACAGTGTAATATAAGACAGCTGAATGTACTAAAGGTAGTGTATAAGTGCAACAAAGAACCAATAGTTTCACTAAATATAGTTTGTGTTGTTTTTCGTATAAGAATTGATCTGTTTCGACTGCTTAAGGTTCAACAAGACGGTTTAGAACGATTATAAAATGTTATTTATGCTTAAAATATATTTTTTAACTATATTATTTAATATTTTTCGTACTTACTCTTCTGGAAGTGTTTGAGCACCTTCTTCCTGTCCGGGTGCGTTGATGTGATAGACGCAGAAATTTTCCAATAACGCTCTCATGTCAATGTAATTGAAAAATGCTTGGAAATTGGATACATCTGAAAAAGGAAAAGAAAATAAAAATGTGAAACCAGCTTTTCACGAAAACTTTTATATATGGACCGAATTTTACAGAAGTTCCAAAGTTAATCTTTTAGTTAAAGTTAACTATTTACAACTGACATGATATATTTACTTAAAGAACTTTTTTGGTTTGATGTGAGTAATGAAAAAGAGGTTTTTAAAATTGATTAAAATTTGATGGAGTAAAAATACGGTAATGAAGAAAATAACAATAAAAATTAACATTTTAGTTTTTTTGATTAATTGTATATTTGTGGCTTTCCACGAGAACAGAAAATGTCAAAGAAACATATTCATAATTTTTAATTTTTAGTTAATTTCCAATGAAAAGGCTAATCAGAGTTAATATGTTGTTCCTCTATCTATGGACATCTTATTCGCTAGTTTATTCCCGTTGGAGTTACACAATTCGTCGGTAGCCTTTTTCACCATAATTAACCTTAGATATAACAATAAATGATGTGTTGCTTCATATAGTTATTGAACTATTTTGATGTGAGGTTTACTTTCAGATGAACTCAGATGCGATACTACATAAGTTCTTCTTACAAACCAACTCAACGAATCCTACAGTCTGGGACAACAGTTACACAGTTCTAGGCTAAAATATTTGCACTGACAGTCTTCACCATTCACCGTCTTCAATGAAATCATTAGAGAAGACTACAAAAAACACTAGCAGACACGCTGGCAGAGCTAAAGAATGTTTCAATGCCTCTAACTATTCTGGACATTAGAAAGGACATTCAAAAGTGGTTGCCAAAGTGCTACAAAAAACAATGGAGAACATACAGCGACAAATCCATAATAAAATCATTAGCAACATTGGGACTTTTGTCTAGTAGCAGAAGCAGAGGACAACGGCAGACAGTTACTGTCCAGGGCACGGGACATTGCTAACTGAGGAAAACCCTTTACAACACAGATATGTTTGAAATGGAGGATTAAACTATTTTTCATCAAATATTTTCTTAATTTTCTATTGATGCTTATTTCCTTGTTACAACCAACTTCAGACTGAAGACTGCAGAGTAAAAAGAGGATCTAACTGTGGGATGGAAAGAAGTATGGATGTATAACAAGCATACAGCAACCTCAAAATGATATTGAATGGCTTTCTCGTTTACCTAATTTCTATCCTACAGATTATTTTTATTGGGGATACTTAAAAGATTCAGCTTACAAAACTAAACCAGCAAGTCTTGCAGAGCCAAGGCATTAAATTATCGATGAATCTTCAATAATTTCTAGACAATCATGGAGAAAAGTGGTAACCACTATATTAAAAGATATTGTAATCTGACAATTGTTACGTTTTAATGTAGTTGAAAATCTTCTTCTTTTTGTGCCACTCCTATCGGAGATTGGAAATCATCAAGGCTATTCTGACCTTGTTTACGGCTGACCTAAAGAGTTCATTAGTGGTGCAGCCAAACCACTCTCTCAAATTCCGCAACCATGACATTCTTCTACGGCCTGGATTCCGTTTTCCTTCTATTTTTCCCTGCATTATATTTTGAAGTAATGCGTATTTATGTCCTCTCATCAGGTGACCAAAATATTCGAGTTTTCTTCGCTTTAGCGTTAACAAAATCTCTGGGTCTTTTCCTATTCTTCGTATTACTTCACAGTTTGTTATTCTTTCAACCCAACTAATCTTCAGCATTCGACGGTAGCACCACATCTCGAAACTTTCAATATTTTTCATGTTGTTCTGTTTGAGAGTCCAGGCCTCTACACCGTATAATAGCGTGTTAAATACATAGCCTCTCAGCATTCTTAATCGTAGAGGGATGCTTATATTTCTGTTGCAGAAGAATTTTCTCATCTTTATGAAGGTGGCCCTGGCAATTTCGATACGTCTTTTTATTTCACTGTTTTGGTCTCCAGTTTCGTTTATTAAAGTTCCCAAGTATTTGTAACTTGATACTTTTTCAACTTGAGTGCCGTTTATACTAATATACGCTGGTTGTGTCATGTTTTTACTGAAGACCATATACTTGGTTTTTTTAATATTGATATTTATACCATAATTGTTGCAAGCAATATTTATGTCTGTAAGTAATCTTTGTAATTCTTCTACTGTTCTTGCAACTAGTACAGTGTCGTCCGCGTATCGAATATTATTTACAATCTCTCCATTAATTACGATTCCTCCGTTTGCTTGTAAAAGGGCTTCCTGACAGATGCTTTCACTATATACATTAAATAACAGAGGTGACAAAATGCAACCCTGTCGTACTCCTCTACGTATTTCTATTGCTTGTGATGTTTCAGTTTCTATTTTGATGTTAGCTTTCTGATTCCAATATAGATTGAGAATTATTCGCAGATCTTTATTATCTATGTCCTTCCTTTCAAGAATCTCTCTAAGCTTATCATGGCGTACTCTGTCAAACGCTTTTTCAAAATCGATAAAACACGTATGTACCTCCTGATTAACGTCTAGGCATCTTTGTGTAAGAACATTCAAACCGAAGAGAGCTTCTCGAGCACCAAGCCCTTTTCTGAACCCCATCTGTGTATTACTAATATCGGACTCCAACTTTTGATAAACTCGGTTGTGGATGATTTTTAGAAATATCTTTAGTAGGTGGCTCATTAAAGATATTGTTCGATGTTCTGAACATTCTTTAGCATTAGATTTCTTTGGCAGTGTAACGAATGTAGACAACAGCCACTCTTGAGGTATAATACCAGTATTGTATATTGTATTAAATAAGTGCAATATTATACCTATTGATTCATCATTCAAGAGCTTTAGCAATTCGGTAGGAACCTCATCCGGTCCATTTGCCTTCCCAGTTTTGGAATTTTTAAGTGCCATTTCTACTTCACATTTTAGAATTTCAGGTCCCGTTTCGCCATATATCAGAACAATGTTATTTCTGTTGTCCTCAAATAATTCTCTTATGTATTCACTCCATCTATTAATTTTCTCTGTTAAATCTATAATAATCTTTCCATCTTTGTTCTTAAGCAAACTTATTTGACGTCTTCTTTGGGTTCCTGTAATTTCTCTTACTTTTTTATGTATATTGAACGTGTCATACTTTCTTTCATAGTTTTCCATTTCTACACATTGTTCTGTAATCCATGATTCTTTGGCATTTCTTATTCTTTGCTTTATGTTCTTATCAACCTCTCTGTATTTTTCTGCATTATTCTTCATTTTACGTCTTTCATCCATTAGTTCTAGAATGTCTGGTGTCATCCACACCTTATGTTTCTTTGCAGATTTGGTTAGGTGTTTCTTTCCCGTAGTTCTTATTATAGTATTTATATACTTAAGTTTTTCATCTATGTTGTCTGTTCTGCGGATTTGGCTCTCTGCTACACTGAGGCTGGTGTTTATTTCTTCTCGCACTGTTTGTCGTAGATGTTCATTTTTTAAGCTGGCTTAAATCTAATGCTGGAATGATGGCTTTTCTTATTTTCTTTGGTCTAGCTTCTATCACAGATACTACTGGATTATGATCCGAACCGATATCAGCTCCAGGGAAAGTTTTAGTAGATTTTACGGCATTACGGAATCTTTTTGTCACCAATATTGTAATCTATTTGGTTTCTGACCACTTTTTCTTGTGTATGTTGAGGTGACGTCCACGTATATAGTCGCCTTGGGGGTAGTTTAAAGAATGTATTAGTTATTATTAAATCTTCGCTTTGACAAAACTGAACACTAAACGATCACCCCTTTCATTTCTATTACCTAAGCCATATTCACGACATTTTCTCCAATTTTACCCTGACTACTTGGCGTTCAGATCGCCCATTACTATGTTAATTGTGTTGTCTCTTTGTTGTTCTCATCGTTGAAATAGTTAGTATTAAAATTTGATTGAGAACAACTAGGCGCTGCCAGACTTCTGTTTTATGTATTTAAGACCTTCCAGACTACATAAATCATAATGTTACATATGGTTAAATGGTATTGAATAGGAGATTCCAATAATGATGAATATAGAGGGCGATGAATTTAGAATAACGAATGTTACTAATAATATAAGAGAAACAGAAAATCTGGCAACATTGTAAACATCAAATATGGAATTACGTATCTAAAATACTGTATTACACAGTTGTTCACTCAAAATGTAATAATTAAACAGAATTTACTTCTAAAATTACTTACAATTTAATCCAAGATCGTGGTAAGTCAGAATGGCAGGCTTGTTCCTGGAACCTTGTACAGCAACCACCACGTTTCCACGATCCGTCTCGACAACTTCCTCCATTACGGAGGAGTCGTCCCTAGATAGTGATCTGGCTGTCGGGAATTGAAGTTGGATGTTTTTTAGCTCAATGTCGTCCATGCTGTCAGAAGGCATAGTACTAAAATAAGGAGAAACCTAATTAGTACATGTTATTAGGTATGTTTAAATTTAAAATATATTATAAATTGTTTACACACAATTATTATATTGTGGATTATGGATTACACTATAAAATCTTCATTTACTGGTTGCTCGTTTGACTTCGACTTTTACCAGCTGCGTCTATCTGTTCAAGTCGACTGTAAATGTTAACAATAAATGACAACACCAAAAACTATTATTAATTTTGTAGTCAACTTAAATATCAATTGGAAATTGTATCTCATTTACACATTAAGTAATTACTATAAAATAATCAAATTCTATTTACAAACAACACCGACTTCTGCGTAAGGAATTAAAAAATCGCTAATCCAATTTTCGTTTCGCAAGAAAGCGTATGCAGCAACTACGTACCAATTCTACTAATGCATCTTTCGTAGGATCTTCTTCTTCTGGTTCCTATCCGTTTCGGATGTTGGAAATCATATTGGCAATCATAACCTTGCTCGCTGCGGCTCGAAACAGCTCCGTTGAGGTTTTCTTAAACCATGTTCTTAAATTCCGCAGCCATGATATTCTCCTTCTACCGGGTCCTCGCTTACCTTTGACTTTACCTTGCAATATAGACTGTAGCAGGGAGTAACGGTGCTGATTTCTCATAACGTGTCCCAGATATTGCAATTTTATGCGTTTGATCGTAAACACAATCTCTGGTTCCTTCTTCATTTTTCCTAGAACTTCCTTGTTCGTGATCCTTGCTGTCCATGATATTCTCAGCATTCTTCTATAAAGCCACATCTCAAATGCTTCAAGTTTTTTAATAGTGGTGTCTGTAAGCGTCCATGCCTCCGCCCCGTACAACAACACAGAGAAAACATAGCATCTCAAATGTCTCATTTTTGTATCAAGGGATATGTTGTGACTTTTGAAGATGGCGCTCATTTTGTTAAAGACCGTTCTTGCCTTTCCTATGCGGCACTTTATTTCCTGTAAATTGCTCCACTGTTCGTTAATAATAGTTCCCAGGTAACAATACTGTTTTACTCGCTCTATCTGCGTCCCATTAATGTATAGATGAGCCCCGTTTATATTCTCCTTGCTGATAATCATTTGTTTCGTTTTGTGGGTATTAATGTTTAGTCCGTACTGTTGACTGTACTCGTTTATTCTGTCCATTAGCCTCTGAAGTCCCTCTAAACTATCTGCTATCACCATGGTGTCGTCGGCATATCTAACATTGTTTACTCTTTCACCATTTAGAAGGATGCCTTCGTCTATTCCGTAAAGAGCCTCGTTAAAAATTTTCTCTGAGTACATATTAAATATCAACGGCGATAGGATACATCCCTGTCTAACTCCACGTAGTATTTTTATGTGATCTGTTTCTTCTCCGTTAATTTTCATGTATGCGGTCTGATTCCAGTAGAGTTCTGAAATTATTCTGAGGTCTTTGTCATCCAGGTCTGCCTCTTTTAAAATGTTTATCATCTTTTGATGTTGAACTCTGTCAAATGCCTTTTCATAGTCGATCAAGCACGCGTATACGTCGCAGTTAACGTCCCTGCATCTTTGAATCAGTACCTGTACTCCGAAAAGTGCCTCTCTGGTACCCACTGCGTTAATGAAGCCGAACTGTCTGTCCGATATTTGTTCCTCGCACTTCTTATAAATTCTTCCATGGATGACTCTAAGAAACAGTTTCAACATATGGCTCATTAGGCTGATTGTTCGATATTCTTCGCACTTTTTAGCCCCCTGTTTTTTAGGTATCGCTATGAATTCTGATTCTAGCCATTTATCAGGGATGATTCCTGTATTGTATATTTTATTGAAGACAGCCGTGATCCAAATTATTCCTTCTTCCTCCAAGAGTTTTAAAAATTCAGCTTCGATATTATCAGGCCCTACTGCTTTCCTGCTTTTCATCCGTTTTATTGCTTCTTCTACCTCGGATTTAAGTATGTCCGGGCCCGTCATCCTCTCTGAAAATGGATGCCTATAATCCGTTCTTTGATCTTGAAAAAGTGTCTCCAAATATATTCTCCATTTGTCTTTCATCTCTTGGGTGTCAATGATTAATTTTCCATTGGTGTCTATGAGTTTCATTTGTGTTCGCTTTTTAAAAGTACCCGTTATTTCTTTGACCTTTTTGTGTACATTAAAATTGTCATGCTTGGCTTGTAGTCTTTCTATTTCTGTACATTTCTCTACAGCTTCTTTTTCTTTAGCTTCTCTTATTTTTCTTCTGATGTAAGCCTGCATTTTTTTATACTCATCTTTATTTCCTTTAATTAACCTTCTGCGTTCCATTAAGTGAAGGATTTCTGGAGTCATCCAAGATTTCTTCTTTGTTTCTTTGTTTGGTTTTAGCAGATCTTGTTTAGTTTTCTTAATTATTTCTTGGAATTGATTGATTTCTCGTTGGATGTTATTTTCTTCTTTTAGTTGTTTAACTTGGTTGTTAATATATTCTCCCACTTGCTTTTTAACTTCCGGATGTTGCAGGGCTGTCATGTCGTAGTTAGGTCTAGATTTTTTCTTTATTGTCTTCAGTCTCACATCCATGACTCCCACTAAAGGTATGTGGTCAGATTCAATGTCCGCTCCTGGATATGTTTTGACAGATTTAAAACTGTTTCTGAATCTTCTATTTACCAATATATAATCTATCTGGTTTCTAATTACGTTATGGGGTTTATCTGCTGGTGCCTTCCATGTAATACAATCTCCTCGGCGGTAGTTTATAAAATGTGTTCAAAACCACTAGCTTGTTATCTTCTGCGAATATTTCTAGTCTGTCACCTCTTTCGTTTCTTTGTCCTAACCCAAAGGTCCGATTAGAGACGTTTTCCGTTCGGCCCCAAGTTTTGCATTGAAATCCCCCATTATGATGCTGACTTCATAAGGATACTGTGGCTGTATTCCGCATTTCTTCTGTCTTGTCTTGTATGTTCAAACATACAGTTTCCTTAATGCATCTCTAAATGTTTTCGGATTTGAAATCTCCAGCCTGTTTTGATTTTGGTGCGGCATTGTTATTTTTAGCTTTTAGATTTGCAGCGTATATGCTATAACGGGAGTAAACCCCGTTTGTGCTAGTGCTAATAATCCTGAATGTCCCCTTTTATCTCTATAAAATGATTCCATCTGCTCACTCTCCATGGAATGGGCATGCTTTCTACTTCATATATTCTACTCATCGTTTTTTCCAAACATCAAACCTCTGTCACCTCTAGAGCCTTCCAAACCTCAACAGATATTCCATCAGGTCCTACTGCCTTACAATTCTTCATCCTATTTAACACCTCGACATACTTTATTTCTCAGGATATCCCCAGTGCTACATTTTCATTCGGGGCTGTCTCTCCTCTGGTGTTCTTCATTTACCAACTTTCTTAAGTACTCATGTCATATTTGCTTTATTTTACCATCGGATCTTAAAACTCTTCCAACTGTATTTTTAATAGGTCTCACGTGAGTCAAGTCCTTTGATGACTTGTCTCTGGCTTTAGCAATGCTGGATAACCTTTTCATCCCCTCGGATGTTTCCATCCCTTCATACAGCTGTGCAGACGATGTTTTCTTAGCAGTACCTAGAGCATTACTCTTGCTTCCCTCTTTGGCACTCTTCCAGCACTCTATTCTTAAATAAATTCTTTTACAAAATCTTTTAAATTCCATAACTTTACTTTCTGGTGTCAGCCTTTATTTCCATATCCACTATTACCGGTTGGTGTTTACTAGCTTATCCTTTATATTTGGTAACTTCCTTTGGTTGGCTTCACGCACACAGTATAAAATCTATCTGACTTCCCCACTGGTGTCTTCAGTCTTCATAAGGAACGTATTAATCACAGCCAAATCTCATGCCGCTGCAAAATCAATTACATTATTCCCTTCGTCATTTCTTATTCCCATCCCCAAACCCCCTTTAAATTACTTTTAAACACATCTTAAATAAATAAAATAGAGAGGAAATGTAAACTAGATCAGAAAAAGGAAGAGACCATAAAAAATACAGAAGACATAAGCCTGAAATGCCTCTTTTAATCTTAGGTTATATGTCACAAGATTGTCATCATGACTTAAACGTCCAATGTATCAAAATAACCAAATTACATGTATTTGCTGCGACCGAACTATCCAAAACTCAAAACAACTCTTCAATTGGCAATATTCAAGGTAAAACTTCTTCAAAGAAATATATCGGCACAAAATGCGAAGACTAAAAGGGAAGTGGCAGATCTAATTCTCAAAGAAAAAATCCATAGGGCCAAATTCAAAGTAGAGTTAATTATAAGTGAGAGTTATTATATAGATGTATTAGAAAATGTTGAGATATACTGTAATCTATTATTAGAACAATTCCATCTTATTTCCGAACAGAAAGAAATAGACGATTTACTTAAAGAAGCAATTTCTACTATTATTTGGGTATCCTCACGCCTAAGCCAAGACGTACAAGAATTAACAGTGATATCAAATATTTTATGTGGAAAGTACGGTCCGAATTTCGCAAAAGATTGCAAAGAAGGCCACCACGAAGCTATAAACAGCAATATAAAACGAAAACTGGGTGTATCGATTCCATCGAAATTACTTATCGAAAATTACATGGCTGAAATTGCGAGAAATTACAACATATCGTATATTCCAGATCCTACAGTTACGGGAACAGAATCAGAAGAAGAGATCGTATTACCCGATACTCAGCCGAGGCAATTCGATTTTTCAATAAAGAGAGGAAGTGACTTCAGTAATACCTATCCTTCAACAAGTTCACCGTTTTCTTCTTATTTGCTTCCAGAAGAAGAAGTAGAAGAAGGACGTACTTCATTGGATCATGATGTACCTGTCCCCAATAACCTACAAGAAAATCATGAACATATAATAACATCAGATTTGACATCAGATGTCGAACACAGCCTTTCCACAGAACCAAAAAATTTACCAAGAAATAAAGAAAAACAACAAAACAAAGATTTACCTTCAGCAAAACAATGTCATTTACCACAAGTACCTACTGAACAACCGAATGATCCTTTGGAAGGTAAGTCATTATCTACAGAAATTTACGGAATAACAAACGTTCCAAAGGAGCAAGACTGTGGACTGCCCAAATTGTCACCAGTAACTGTTAAAAGACCACGTAGTTTATCAGCTGATGACCTATTAACGACGTTTAAGCACACTGATAAAGAAAAAGACAGTCTTACACCAAAGCGAGATACAGGACGTGAGACACAAGACAAGAATAAGGATATAATTCATCAAAAAACAACTAATCAAAATCTATTAAAAACAGACACATCTAACGGATTACATTTTATAAATAATAATGAAACGTCCAAGAGCTCAGAAAAACATATCGATATGTCCCTATTACAGTTACAGCAATTAACTACATCAACAGTCTCTAGTAATACCAATACCATTTTTCCACCACTGTCTTTAACCAAACAATCCCTTAAGCTATCTATGAGTACGTCTAATATATTCCAACCATGTTCAAATATATTTGAATCCGTTAAAGAGTCAGAAGTAAGTATTCAGACATAGAGCACAACAGGATATAATAAGTGATGTTTTGAGGAAGTTGTTTACATTACTTTTCAAGTATAATGTTAATTAAATGACCTTCACTTTAACTACAGTTGCTCGGAATATTGATCGGGTGGTAAAGTCATATTATTGAGGTATATTATTTAGCCAGGATGTTTCTGTTCTATCTTGCTGAAGTTTGCGTTCGATTATTAGTTGAAACATTTTAATTTTCGCTTCTAAATGCTGCTACTAATGTGTGGGATACCCATCTGCCTCCATCTCTTGCTATCACATTGCTCTCGCGTGCTCCTCATTCCTTGACATGTTGTCAGAGCGTGGTAACACTATAAACATCCTTGCTTACTGTTTCGATTGCCTGCATTGATTGAGAGCCTTCTCTACTTCTGCTCGTAAAGTGGTTGGTTATGCCTCTTTGATTGTACGTTCCTTGTGTTCTAAGACTGATGGATCTTTTAAAGTGTTCTTGTATAATTCTGAGCAGTAATTTTTGTAGGTTTCTGCAATGCTTTCGATGTCGATTTTTACTTCCTTCATTATGGTCTAAAAGTTGTGGCTTGAACTATCAGGCCAAATATTTAAGGTACTAGATATTAGCTCACACTAATAGACCTTCACAAAAATGATTGTGCAACACTTGTAGACACACCCAACGCCGCCATTTTCTGTACAATCTCGTCATCGCATCGTGGAAATCTTCCGAGTTTCTAAAACTGAAAATGGCACTTAAAGGATAAAATACAGCCAATTCAAACGAGTCGAATAACAGCAATGAAGACCAATATATAGAGTTTCAGAACAGTTTTGGTGACTTAATGGATATATTACTTTGAAGGAATCCACGAGCTGGATGACAAATCATTGCAAAATGATGAACATAGATCGGATACTTTTATGATACACTTAACAATACCTACGTAAAAAGCTTTCTTGTGCTATCTCATCTTTGTCAGAGTATTTCGGCATCACAGCATTCCTTCATCCACCAATTTTACCATTAAAATATTATGTTACTCATAACACAATACCTCATGTAGTTGCCATACCAAAACTATTATTATTCTGTCTTCTGGGTAGTTTGATTTTATGTCGTTATTGTTTCTAGGTATACCACAGGTCTTACACTGTAAGTGACCATAACGAGTTCACTAAATACATTCAGTAATCGCGGTGTAGTGATATTTTGATGTTTTCTCTTCTAGATGTACGGAACGACACATGTAAAAGCCATAAAAAGCAAGTTGAACGATGATAATTTAACACACATTCTCAACATTTATAATCAAAAAATGGATGTCCTAGAGCTACCATGTACGTCCAAAGATACATCTCTACTGTTAATACAAAATATTTCCAATGAAGACTCTGGAACTTTCCAAAAACTGAGAGAGGATGTTGACATATCCCTTCCTTCAACATCTGCGTATCTGCTAGACGATTCCCTCGACAAAATGATCAATTTACCAGATGTACCTGATGATGAAATATACATTTTTCCACAATTGCCCTCAGTACCAGATGTTGACACTAATAAGCTTGACAATAATAAAGATATAGGTTTTGATGAGCTTTGTAAAAGATTTTATGCTCTTAAAAGAAAAGATCAGTAGTAAATGTTAAAGGTGTAACTTAAAAACTATTTTGCAGTAAACAACTTAATTATACAAGGTGTTTCCACAGTAATCGAATATTATTTCGTGTGATTTGTCATTAATGTGATAATATGTAGAATTTTTGTTGCTTAGGATGGAGTTAAACTTGGTATCCTTATTAAAGTATGACAGTATTACAATAATTTTTGTTTATTAGTTTGTTTTGTTAGAAAGTAGGAGGCTACATAAAAAAATAAAAAGTTTTATTCTGTATCTACAATCCTGTTCAGTTTACACTAAAAGGGTTACTACTCCTGCCGCATGGGTGGCCTTGCACTAGTTTCTCTATTACATCCATCCATTTTTCCTACCGGGAATAGACGGCAAGCACGACACGATAGTTGATTCGAAACGTTATTTTAATCGAATTGAGATAGCGCCTTCATACGTCAAGGATACAACAATTTATTCGAAAAACAAATATTTCTCTATGCTTCTGATATTGAAATGTGTATCTTTATTTTATTATCATCAATAGTTTTATCTTATAAAGACGGTCCTGCTTCTATTAAAACTATCAAAATTTTGACGCCCACTTTATCCATCTCGTAGTAACTACTTGAAGAAGAGTAAACAATTAAAAAACTACTTACCTACGCTTTTTTTGTATTCGAATAGTTCGACAAACTTCGAATCGTGTGAAGGAGCGTACTTAGATACAAGCGCCACTGACGTTCGATTCGAATTTTTTGTCGCGTCATGGCATACGATTTGCAGTGAAAAAATTTAATGTAAATTTTAATGTACCCGGTAGAATTTCCGAGTACGATATATGATCGAGACGTCTGAACACGCCCATTTAAAACTATGTGCCACTAAGCAATTCGACGTTTTTATAGATTCGAACAAAAATTCGAATTCGTATCGCCTGAACATGCTGTAATTCCTCCCATATTTTAGTCTTTCCCGCCCCCCCCCCCTCTCTCTCTCTCTCTCTCTCTCTCTCTCTCTTCCTCTCTCTCTCTCTCTCTTTCTCTCTCTCTCTCTCTCTCCTTAGTAGAGTTTGAGTTACTTTCATCATCAGTTGGCGCTACAGCCCTTCGTGAGCCTGCTTCAAAACATTCTTCCATCCTTCCCTATCGAGTGTCTGCCTTCTCCAGCCCCTCACTCCAATCTCTCTCAGATCTTCCTGTACATCGTCCAGATATCTGAGTTTAGGTCGCCCCCTTCTTCTTCTTCCGACCGGGCTGTTTAGCATAGTTATTTTAGTGGGATCACTCTCATCCATCCGCATAACGTGGCCCACCCACCTTAGGCGGTTTGTTTTGATGATCTTCACAATATCTGCATCACCAAAAAGTCTATAGACTTCAAAGCTCAAACCGTATGTGAGCACTGGGCGTATTATTGTTTTATTGGGTTACTTTATCGTGGGGAAATTTTGTTGATCGTGAAAAGGCGCAGAAAACCTTAAATTATTGTCAGCATCCTGTTTGCCTACGCTACTTGGTGTCAGAAGACTTTCATATGTCTATTCGTCTTCTTTTTTTTTGGTGTATTAACTGGTCCACTTTTTTTTACCTGACAAGTTTTCTTTTTCTTTTTGCCTGCCAAATCGTCTTCTTTTCATGTATCAAAAATCTTAACGTTCATGATATGCAGTTGTAGTTACGAGGTAATACCCCACTAAGTTACAGGTTACAGTACCGAAATATAAGTTTTTATCTCCGATCAGCTACATATTTCCATCGGGAATGGAATATTACCGAGAAATATTATCAAGGAAGACACCCTTATCATAAGTATTAAAGGTCCGATTATAGTATAATTATTCTGTTGACTTCTCATTTACTTTATAATATATTAAAAATCAAGACTTTTGCTCGTAATACTGCTGTTTCAAATTTTCAGAGTATGTCCACTTCTATTTGTTTGTTGTATTTTTTCTCCTTATATACAGGGTGAGTCATGAGGAACTTTACATACTTCTACCATATGTAGAGTCCCTCAGAGAGCATATCATGTGGTCACTAAAAAATGTCAACTCCTCTTCTTTATTAATTAACAGGGTGATTTGTGTAATTGACCATTTATTTCATTTTACTGTAGTGTTTATACGGCTCATTTGATTTTTTTAATTTTGTGCATGATACAGTACACTACTATCAAGCATTCGACTGGTATTAGCTAAACTAAAAAATTTCAGGACTGGCTTTGGAAAAATTAATTTAGGGATTCGTATTAAATATTACACCCTGTATATATATATTTTTTTAAATGCAATAAGTGATTTTCAAACTACATAAACAGCCAATGAAAACGACATATGCGACAATGTTGTCGCACTTTTATTAAATTTTTAGTGAACGATCAAATCTTACCAAAAATAGAACAACCATAATGAAGTATCAAATTATAAGGTATTAATTTAAACAAATGTTAAAAATTTCAAACATTTCAATTAAAATGAGTTCCTACAACATAATCTAAAGCGTAGAAAATTAACATCTTTACTGTCACTTTGTATTATCTCTACGATAGGATCAATTGTTTTTCAATTTAAATTTTTACTCATAGATCGTATTGGGGCATTATTTTCGATAAATAATAAATTAAATTGATTAAAAAGTCAAACCTTTTGTATGTGTTAGTTTTTGTTGATTGTAAATGATTAAAATTTTATGTCAAATAATAATACATTGCATCAACTGTACTAAATAAAAATTAATCTAAAAAAGTTTAAAATGAAGGTTGGCGTTGACCGTTTGACGTTTCTTGATATTTTATACCCATTGTCAATATTGTCATTATCAATTGTTATTTATGTGTACAAGAATACATATTTCTTCTGTCATATCTACGTTAAGTACATTGTGTTAGTTTTGGTAGAGCTTGTGTTACTTTCGTTCAAAATGCCACATCAGTTTTCGACCACAGAATATGCAGACATAATATTTGTTTATGGATTCTGTAATGGGAACGGTAGGGCTGCTAGTAGAGAATATCGCAGGAGATTTCCTAATCGTCGAACTCCCAGTTATCCAACATTTGGGTCAGTTTTTAATTATTTGCGAGAAAAATGGCACTTTTCCTAGTGGAACAACAGAGCGACATGTAGATGAAGCGCAGGAAGATGACATTATACCCGTCGTTACTATGAACCCTACAATAAGCACTAGATAAGTAAGTCGAGAACTCAATGCTACTTAATCAAAAGTAAGTAGAGTCTTTACAAAAAAAATAATCTATACCCATATCACATTCAAATGGTTCAGCGACTACATGCTGGAGATGAGATCGATAGGTTGGAATTTTGTAGATGGATTAACAATAATCGACCAACGCTATACAGGACACTATTTACAGATGAAGCCCAATTTACCAGAGACGGGATAAATAATTCACGAAATTCACATGTGTGGGCAGAAGAAAATCCCCATGCTATTCGAGAACGTCGTTCTCAGTTAAGGTTTTTGGTCAACGTGTGGATTGGTGTCATAAATAACCAATTAGTAGGTCCTCACTTTTTTGATGGTCCTTTAACAGGGCAGGTCTATTTGAACTTTCTACAAAATATTTTGCCGAATTTGCTTGCCAACGCGAACGTTGCTATCCGAGGGATGTATTTTCAGCATGATGGGGCACCCCCACACGTTTTACTGGTAGTGAGACAACATCTCAATAATGTTTATGGCAACAGGTGGATAGGACGTGCAGGTCCTATTTCGTGGCCTTCAAGATCCCCTGATTTCAATCCCGTTGTATTACCATATTTGGGGACGATTGAAGCAACTAGTTTACGCAGTGAATATTAATAACCGACAACAATTAATTGATAGAATTATACATTGTTGTAATACTATTAGAAACGATCCCCAGAGTATCCGTAATTTAATACGTCAATTAACAATTCAGCAACAAAAATGTGTACAGGCTGCAGGGTTCCATTTCGAAAATCTATTTTGAAATTATTTTATTTTGTTACCATTATTGTATCTTTTCCAGTCCTAATTTATGGGTTTATAGTCTTTTTTTTAAATTGTTCTTCTTTATTGTTAGTAGTTACTGTTTTTTGTTGTGCAGTGACTCAGTTTATAATTTCAATTAAAAGGTTTGAAATTTATAACATTTGTTTAAATTAATTACCTTATAATTGGATACTTCATTATGGTTGTTCTATTTTTGGTAAGATTTGATCGTTCACTAAAAATTTAATAAAAGTGCGACAACATTGTCGCATACGTCGTTTTCATTGGCTGTTTATGTAGTTTGAAAATCACTTATTGCATTTTAAAAAATATATATACAGGGTGTAATATTTAATACGAATTCCTAAATTAATTTTTCTAAAGCCAGTCCTTAAATTTTTTAGTTTAGCTAATACCAATCGAATACTTGATAATAGTGTACTGTATCATGCAAAAATTAAAAAAATCAAATGAGCCGTATAAACACTACAGTAAAATGAAATAATGGTCAATTACACAAATCACCCTGTTGATTAATAAAGAAGAGGAGTTGACATTTTTTAGTGGCCACATGATATGCTCCCTGAGGACTCTACATATGGTAGAATTATGTAAAGTTCCTCATGACTCACCCTGTATATTTGTGTCTCTATCTTTTTTAAGATATTCACCTGTTACAGCACATAGATCTAAAACTATTCTCTTTGACCAAAAATGTTGCACATAATTCTTACACATTTGTTTATGAATATTTGCTGTAATCATGGATGTATTGATAAGCACAGGCTCTGACTGTAGTTAGAGAATGGACTTCAAATGTAGGGCTTAACGTAAGTCCCCAAAATTTCAAAATCGTGATATTTACCAGAAGGAATTCGGAGGGATTGGGTGAGAATTTATGTTTTAAATAATTTTTTATTTAGATGTTTTTAAGAACCGCAATCTATTTAGTAATGAATTAATTGATGTTAACATGTGTCGTTACATTTTTTGAGTATTGAATAAATATTTTTTTAAGTTTATTATTTTATTGATGATATACTTTTTTGCATTACTTTATTGGCGATATAAAACTTTTTCGCATTAGATAGCTAAGCATGTCAATTTCAGCAATTTTATTTATGAATTCTTCGATATATGTTTTATGACCATTTTAAATAATTTATAAATCTGAGGTTAAGATTTATTGGCGGCGTCCTCTATTACGTAGTTCCTAGAAATCAGTATTTT